ACCAGTGGCACATACTTGCTCTAGAGCGGGTATGTGCCACAGGGGATGCGAGATGGGAGATGGCGGTACTTGGAGTGTTTGCTAGATGGACGCACGACAGACAGATGGATGCCCGAACGGATGGACGGACTCACGGATGGTCGCATGGACGGGCTGACAGTTGCTTCACCCTACTCTCAGTCACTCCGCACATATGCTGCGATTTTTCCTAGTGCTGGTGACATGTAAATAAAGAAAATTCTAATTTTATACAAGGTAAGATTAAGTTTTTGGATTTCTTTAAAATTGTAACTATTTTACATGTTAACCGAATCTTATACATTTTTGACTGATCAGTGACAATCAAAATGTTATAATTATCCTATGTCTCACAGGAAAGTCGTATTATCACCCAAAAACCCCTTGCTGGCCGTAAAATTTTCATTAAAATTACCCTACGATTGGCAACCCTGTTGGTGATGCATAATCACACCAATTTTCATGCATGCTACATCCTTGACAGTACATGAGCCATGACAGCATTTTCTTAACTTATCAGCGACTGATGGAGTTTTCTTGCTATTTTTTTCAGTTCAATCTATTTGTAACATTACATTTTTCTGAGAAGCTTTTCCCCGCTTTGGCACACTCAGTTTATTTTGTTTTTATTGTGCTAAAAAACTGAATGTCCCACTGTGCGAAATCTCGTTGGCTATTGCTTTGGAAATGTATAAATGTTTAGAAAGGCTAAAATAAGAAAAGTGCCTTTTGCAGTTGTTTAAATGAGAACTAAGAACCTTCATGATGTTCTAGGAAAGCTAGAACCATGATTGATTGATATGTGGGGTTCAACGTCTTAAATCCAGCATACGATTATGAGAAACGCTGTAGTGGAGGCCTCCGGAAAGGAATAACCATAAAATTTCATTTGTTGCAGTCCTTATTTGACATATGATACGTGGAATCCAATGACATTTAAAAAGATTTCTGCAGCCAAAGAGCATGACATTAAATTTATAACTTTAGATGTAGCATTTACTAGACTGCTAGGTATGCGCGAGTTCTTTTAGTGAAATATGAATTGCGTCCATTACCTGAAAGTTATTCTATTTCAAGCACAGAGAGTGTCTAAGGCTCATTGGCACGTTCGCGGCCATGAGACATATCGACAGTATTTTGACATGTTCAGCAAGCTACTAGGTCATGCCTCAGACACCGAGCGACGATGAGCGAGCATCGATGAGGGTGAAAATTTTAGTGTTGTCATCATGGTGTCTCCATGTGGCACCATCTGGCAGTGACGCCTGGCTACCTAGCAACAGCTTCCCTTGCTTTGTTTTGCTTGGTTCATGCAGCACGTTCCTGTGAATCCAGCGTTTTCGTTGTGCCACTTCAGGTGATTTGTCGTGGAGTTGTGAGCATGAATGTAATTATTTGAAGCAACGGTCATCGCAAACAAGTAACACACATGCAGCGTTCATATGTCTCACCAGTCAGCGTGACCCAAGCGTGCGTCTCCAGCTGCCTCATCGCTACACGGCGTCCATTTAAGATTCACTGCTCAGAAGAGGATCACACCGAAGATGATTCGCCATGACACGATTCAATATTCCTCAGTGTTTTCACCATAGCTTGTGAATAGTGATCACAGCGGCGCCGACAATGAGGGTGGCGATGACATGCCTATACACGTGCACGCCGAGTAGACATTTTGAAATGTCAATTGAAACTCGCATCACCATTTCATGTGACCACATGATTAGATAGGGCGGGACTATGGTGGACAGAAACAACTTATTTCGCATTGTTACACATTTACCTCTGTTTATTATCACCTCGATGCATGATATTTAAAATAGAGAACTAACAAGAAGAACTTTGAACTGTGTGTTGCAAGTGCACTACCACTATTTTTACACAGCGAATTCAGTTGGCTTGTATTGCCCCCATAGCAAAGCAATGGAATGGGGGACCTGTAGCCCCACGGCAGACATGACAAAAGAAGAAGAGAGCCGTGTCGCTCGTGATGTGCGAGCCACGTAGAGATCAGAACGCTCTTCGCCTCGCTGGGTGCGTCAGCCACAACTGTTTGGTTTTTCTCTTCGCCCGTGTCCCAATAAAGAGCTGCGACCACAGCATGGCAATGCCACCGTCATTCCTCTACAAATGGTTCCATGGCCATGTACTAGCCAGCAGACAGTTGGAGGCCGCAAATTGACCCGCCACTGCCACCGTTCCGCGTTGCTTGTCTCGAAAGATGGTTCGTGAAATTCGAGGTTGGCCTGGAGCTCAAGAGCATCCAGCTCCAGGAATTTATGTTTGAGGTCCTCGAGTACGTACTCCCACCTGATTTCAAACACTGCCTCACCTACTTCTCGTGTAGCCCTCGCCCTTACGATGATCTGCGAGACGTCGTGCTCTGTTTTTGCGGCAGCAGACACCATGCTTTTCCCAGCACCGACATCGCGGCACCTGGCTCATCACCTTCCGGGACGCATCTCGCATCACAGCCAGTCCACACCACTTTTCTGCCAGCAACAACTGGTCATACAGGTGATAGAGACCACCCTTCCGCGCCCATTGATCGATAATTAGAAAGGCCCGCAGTCCCACGGCTCTTGCATCCAGAGTGCCGGTTTTGCCACCTCTTCCAATTATGAATTCGACGCTGGCCGCTACCCCATGCACCGTTGAATTCACTGCAGAAACCTGCTCCGCTGCACTCTCTGCCCTAGGCAATTCGGCGACTCCAGCCAAGCCAGCTCGTTTGCCTGCAGAATACATGCCTGTACTAACACCTGCGGAAGCCCGCGACACCACTAAGCAGACTCAACCTCACGGTGTCTCTTGAGCGCCTACCATACTACGCCTTGTTGGAAATGCACGTGCCTTTTTGCAGATAGTGAAGAAAAACGACGACGAGGCTGTGAGCCTCACATGTAGTTTGGCCCGTGTGGTGATTAGTAGCCTGTGTAGCATTTGAGTAATCCTGCGTGACATGTGTTTTTTTATGTGAGAGTAAATTATTTATTACGAGGTCTTGAGTACTGCAAGCATGCCCTGTGAAGACAACAGCCTGGTCAACATAATGAGGAAGCCCAAGTTCCTAGATTCAACGACCAGCCCACAAAGAAGCATGGTACTCTGGTGTTCACGCTGACCATTTATGCGTGTTTCCACTCAGCAATGAAAAATGGCAGCTGTGTCACTGCTCCAGACTCCACGGTGGCTACGATTCCACATGCAATGAAATCCCCTGTAGACCATGTCTCGCATGCTGCTCAGCCACCGATTTCGAAGACATCACTATCCAAGGCACCCGACCACCCGCCACATGAAGAGTGGTTGCAAATCTCACGTTCGGGACCTACCATCGGCCGTCAAGACACCAGACTTTTCCCCTGATGCAGCAGTTCAGTGCCGACCTGCCGACGAGGTCAAGGCGCGTCACATGACGCAGACGCAGCGCCTGGACTGTCTCAGAACAAGCCAAGACACTGGTCTCAACAATCGCCTTCATGAGTCGCTTATCAATAAGCTCCTGTCCACGGCCGGACCTGGACACCTGCATTCAACAACAGCAGTTAAAGCAAGCAGTAGTACCGGTTTCTCCGCACCAGCATCAGGGGGCTTCCGACAACTCCATCATTGTCATCTGTGCCGTTAGAGTCCACAGCACTTTCCGTCGACATGCTACAGGCTTGAGCTAGCGCGCCTACATCGAACCCTGTCGCAGAGTTCAGATGCACTGGATATATAAACGCAGGTACCACAGGGCATCGTCCTCAGCATTCTGACCGACATCACCTGCTTGCAAGGTTGCATCCCCAGCAGCCCATTCCTTGTCCTCACGTTGGAAGCGCGCGCCTCGCCTGTTGGGTGGTTCTACGCTGTCGACAGGTTCTGCCTTCCGATTGCCGAGCTTTTCCTGGGGCACCTCGAGCTTCTGGTCCACAACGAGACTCTCAGCCTTGACCCCCGGAGCATTCCACTTGCCCGTTCAGCTGCAATGGACTCTCTCCAGACCTCTCACCAGAAATTATATGGACTGCCGTACATGTATATAATTTTTATTCCTTTGGTGTCTTTCTGTGTCTACATTTTCTTTTCGATCGCACAATGCGCTAGGAGGGGGCCCTATGTAGCACCACGGCAGACGCGACGAAAAAAAAAAAAAAGAGCCACAAGGCTTGCGATGCACGAGCCACGTACAGATCAGAACGGTCTGGCTGTTGGCCCCGCTGGGTGCGTCAGCCGCAACAGCTTGGCGTTTCTCTTCACCCGCGTCCTAATAAAGAGCTGTGACCACGGCATGGCCTCAACTGCCGTCATCCTTTGTTTCTCTACAGTACTAGCTTCAAAAATGTTTTTCTTCACTAAAACAAAAATGACTTTGATTGAACTTTCTGTGAACAAAGTCACCATGATTCTCTATCGTATGCACTTTTTTCTTTATTTTTCTTTGTATCTTTGGACCACCTTCGGGTGCTACAGACGTCTCAACTTAGAACAAAGTGGCATTTTTGCCAAGTTCAGAATTTTATTTAAGAGCCTATGCATCACACTCTGGCAAAACAAAAATATTTGTAAATGGTACATTTTACGGAGAGTTTGATAAAAGTAATTTATGCATTATATTGATGTTTTGTAGAAAAATTCCCGAAAACACTATGCTCGGTTTTGTGTACGCTCTGAAGAGTGAAAATTTTGAAGCTTTGATGAGGAACTGTCTTATAATACGTGCATGTTGCTCTCAAAATGCAAAAAAGTATTAAAATAATGTGCAAAACGGTCAATTTATAGGGAATTTTTTTTCCTACCTCATTTTCCACCATTTCGCGAATTTCAAATGGTGGTAAAGGATGCAAAAAATTTTTGCCGCTCAAAACATTTTGGGAAAGTACTTTAGAACTGATGTCTATACGTGCGTGATTTTCTCAAACTATTTGACAAAAATTGATTTTTGGCGAGTTCCCTGGTTGGGACAGTTGGCGTGGAATGACCCAGCAACAAGGCTTCGTCTATTTATACAGTCATGGCATACTGTGTAAGATGCCACACAGTTTATTGCAATATAAAGCACTTTATAAAAACTTTTGATGTGAACTGTACAGTCTCTTGCACAAAAGTAACAACACTCCTAAAAGTGACACTGGTTCAGTCAAGTTTAAAGAACATAAAACCAGAACACAGTGGTGGCACAGTACCCTTTCATTTCTGTCCATTGGTTATGACAGCACTACTGTCGCTCTAGTCAAAGGGTTGAAACAGGAATGCAAAAATCCTAGTTATGTTCTGAAAAGTACATTGTACACAGTGACCTGAAGTACCCTACATCATGCATTGAAGGCATTAAACATTAGGCACCAGACAAGTTGGGCAAAGCCAGCCAGTCGACTTGCTAAGAAGATTATCTTTTCAGCAAATATGCTTCTCTCCACTACAGATGTGCTCTACACTATATACACTAGTATTATGGCTCAAACACCATTCATCAGACTTCTGCCTCATACACCAATATGCATACACTTGAAACACCTAGTGGCAGCACTCTGTACTTTCATGTTGAAGGGGCCATTGAATAACAGACAACAGCACTTATGCACCAATACAAACAGAAAAGTGGACAGCACTGCTTTATATGCAACAGAGCCTGATTTTTTTTACCACAATACTTCAGCTCAGACTGCAAAGATGATGCAGCTACTGCAAGTGGTTTCAAATGGTTTAGTGTGCATGCCGTCTCCACTCAAGAATACAAATCTGTTTGCACGTGCACACAGGTTCTGATCATGGTTCACTCCAATTGTGCACCTATTTTCATAGTGTGTTTGCACAGCACGCAGTCTCTTTCCATTGTACTGCCATCTTCATTTTCTTGAGCCTTATATGAGTAGTGCTCTTGGAATGAGACTCTTCAATTTAAGGTGAAGTAATGCAAATACTGTCATTTTCAACCTTCAGCTCATGTCTTGTTGGGATAATATTGGCTTGTACGCTTATATCAGAGCCAATGTCGCAGTCAGAGCCCGGATGCACAGCAACATGACGTCGTTTTCTTGACCAATTGTGCACACCAGGTGCTTAGATGTGTTTCAATCTGTGAGCACTGTACCTTGCAGGTAGCATGCTTGCAGAATAAGTATTGTTGGACCCTGAACTTGAAAACAGTTTAGTGCCTTTCACATAATGTTAAAGCTCATACTTGTCAGACTATAGGTCGAACACAGTTACCTAAAATCAGTTTCCTCTTTTTGAACTAAGGACAAGTTAAAACCTTTCTAAACACAAATTTGCCAATGTGACAAATGGTCAAACATAAACGCAAGTACAGGATGTGGAAAAGAATACATCCATGCACAAAAAAATTGAAAGAAAAAAAGGCAAATACAGTGTCTTCTTCTTGTGATTACTTCATTATCTTTCTGTGGTCCTTTAAGGGCTCAGCTGTCTGTAACTGTTATCACCGGGGTTCGACATTCAATGACAAGTAAAAAAAAAGAAAAACGAAACGTCTTCAAAAAGCAGCATAAATGTAATAGCAAACAAGATTGCCCATGGTAGTCTTAATTGGCTTGCTGCTACCACTGCTACATGTAGCCGTATTTCTGGTAGCCCAACAGTGCTTTACTGCAATTGGTTTTAAATGTGCAATAAAATTTGGGCTACAATGTCTACAAAAGTACTGGAATCATTATTCACTTATATTTGGTGAAGAACTGCTTTGTTAGGCTTATTGTTGTTACTGCGTTGTACAGTTTAAAAAAAAAGAGAGAAATTCCAGTAAATCACAAGTCATTTGCTAAAAAAAAAAACTTGAAGAATTACAACTGCAGATTGTTGGCCAGCCAACTTAGCAGATTTTGTGCAAATAATATGGAAATGCAAATAAGTGGGCAGGCTGCAAGCATATGGCTGATGTCAGGCCGGCTGAGCATAGCTGTTGTTGCGTGCACACACATACAACACGCACACACACACTTTATCAAAATGTAGAAAAAGTTTCTTTGGGGACACAGTAGATGTAGATTTGCATTCTAGCATATTTTCTCTCCCTATTGGCTAACCCTTAAACAGCCATGTTCCTTACTTCTTGCAAATAACTTGAGCACAAGACAATACCTCAATATGAAATCAAATCAAACTCGTTTATATTAAACATGAATGTTTATTGCTCAAGTAATAAACTCTATAGAATATTTCTTTAAAAAATATATTTTCTAATAGCCTTATGGTCATGCAGTTGGGGTCTCAATCTCAGTCTTTAAGTTCAATATAACCATGTCTGACTGTTACACAAGTTGTACCAAAGTTTGCTCTGAAAAACAAGCTTTCCTTAAGTTTAATTAGAGATAGCGAGGAGAAGGGGGACAACAAGTGGTGTACGAAGAGAGGGAGCATCGCTATGCCATGCTTGCTCTTGGAAACCAGTTTTAATTGCACGTTTTTTGTCTGTGCAATCTGTTGCTTGCATTTGAACTTCAACTTAGAAATAAGTATTGAGAAAATGTATAAGAAAACGTAATCAATTTGAAAATAAAAGCATTGGGGGTAGAGATTTTCAAAACAGACGTTCAATTTCGAACTGGGCTTGCGTTTTTAAGTGAACTTTATTGCTTTGCATTCCTAACACAATAGAAACGCTCATAGGTGTCTTCAATTCTTTTTTGTCTATAGTCTGATCATGGAAACTTTTTTTTGTCTATTTTACAGAAAAATCGGTAAATGTCATGTTACTATCACGGGAGAAAAGCAAGCAGACAGATTGGCATTTTCGAATCAACAGCTTTACACATGCAGTCATGGACGAAGGAAAAGGAAAGAAGGAAGTATTATGCTACGCAGCCACTGTTGGCAAGTCGACCCGTTTTGAAGCCAGCTGTATCAGCATAACACATGGGCTTTCGTGCCAAGATCACATAAGAAATGAGATTCACTGAGACACGATTGTATGGCGCCTGGTAGCTTTTAACCGAAGCATACTTGTTTGGCGCACACCGGCAGGCTCACCGAAGAGGTTCAAGAACGGAATGTCACACTGGGAATATTAAGAGCTAACGCACGCTCTTGGCGTTTTGATCATGTATAGGGCCAACCTGATGGGCTTTAATCGTGTGACTTAGTGTTTTCTCCTTTCTTCTTTTCTTCCTCCATGCATTCAGTAACCTTTTCCCAAATAGTTCTTTCCCACAGGTGCCAGCATACAGTGACTAAATTCCGTGCGAATGCTGGCTTTGATGCAGGTAGTTTTAGAGTGTAGCTCTCAGGTGCCCAATTCTTGTGTTGAGCATTGGCAAGCCTCATCCGTCATAACGAAGAAAAGGAACATGGCAAAAGGTTATCAGTGAAAGGGCGAAAAGAGAAAAAGTGCCGCATGAGACTGAGCTGGCCCCAGAGTAGCGCACGTCATCTGGGAGGTCTGTCTGTCAGTCGGCGCCAGCGGCTGTGAATGGTGTCCATGCACTAGCACTCGTGACCTCTGGATAGAAAAGGCAGTCATGCCACCATCATCATCGTCATCAGCCCGACTACGCCCACTACAGGACAAACGCCTCTGCCATGTTTCACCAATCAACGCAGTCCTGTGCTAGCTGCTGCCACATTACACCTGCAAACTTCCTAATCTCATCTCCCCACTTAACTTTCGGCCTCCACTACGCATGTTTGCCTTCTCTTAGAATCCAATCAGTTACCCTAAATGCCCAGCATTAATCTTGCCTATGCGCTACATGCCCTGTCCATGTCCATTTCTTCTCCCTCCTCATTTCAGCTAAACTGTTCCCTGGCCCACTCTGCTATCTTTTTGTCTCTTAAGGTTACACCTATCAACTTCAATTTAAGTTGAACCCACTGTGCCTCCAGCTTTCAGTCATTCTACACTTCTATTAGCAACATGCCACATGAGACAGATTATTCATACCAGCCAATAGTAAAATGAAAACATACATACAGCTGTGCTGAAATTTCACATTAGAAAGTGTCATAATTTCTTATAGGTGAATGCAAGTTCACATTTTTTTTGTTTTGAAAACTAGACAAATAAATGCCGAGTTTCACATTGAAATATAGCAACAATAAAATGTGTATGTGCTTTATGCACAATTCGAGCAAGAGCAAAGCAACAGTGAAATCTCTTTTGAGAAGATTTCAAAGCAAATGTGTATGGCTCTATACATGGATGTAGAAGCGGCAAAGTGTAATGCACAGCTTGATACTTCAACTGAACAGTGCAAAATTACAGGCCTTTCATGACGAAGTAAGATTAACACAAAATACTGGAGTTTCATAACAGCAAAGCCAGCATGCAGGCAGAAAGAAGTGTGAAGGAAGTATCAGTCTCCTGCAGAATAACAGTTTGCACTCCTTTCATGCATAATAAAGCTTTGCAAGATCTGTAAAAAAATGATGAATTAGAGTAAAAATGTTATTTCACTACAGTCGGCACTTTTCCTTAACCCTGTATTGCATGCATTAGGAAAAAATCATTTTAAAAATTTTCTTCAGCTTTTATTACTGATTGATTGAACCTAAATGTGTACAAAAAGTTTCAGAGTTATAATTGATTGATTGATTTGTGGGGTTTAACGTCCCAAAACCACTATATGATTATGAGAGATGCCGTAGTGGAGGGCTCCGAAAATTTTGACCACCTGGGGTTCTTTAACGTGCACCCAAATCTGAGCACACGGGCTTCAGAGTTATAATGGCTGTATTAATAAAGATATAGCAGGGTGCCAAATATGGCACACCATGAAGATGGCAGAGCGGTCTTGCTGCCATGGGCTAAAAATATAGCACCTTGGAAGGTCTTCGTTTTAGAGTGATGTGTGGAATCAAACAAAATGGTTGTTTGCAGTGTTCAGTCACAGATAATTATTGCACTTCTTGCATCTTATTAACGACTATTTAGTGCAAGATGGCCGCTTACATTACTGTCTCTTTTCATCAAATTCTGGCCAGTGGCCGGCTTGGCGAGATCGGGCGCCTTTGGCGGTAATTGGTGCAGCCGGTCACCGTGCTTTTTTGGCTTGAGCCTGGAATTCGATGTCTTCTCTAGAAGGCTTTTCTGGTTGCTTTTTAAGTAGGCACTCGTGACAAGTAAGGGATTCTGCAGTTTCTGCTTTGAATTGAGCCAGCGGTAGCACTTATTTTTTCCCCAAGCTGCTCCTGCACCCCCTGCACAGTAGTCATGCTGCTACAACGGATAAGTCTAGCATATGTGTGAAAACTCGAAAGTGCCACTTCTTCGACCTGATATGCATGCAGCAATGTCTAAGCAGTGAGTCGAGCTGGTCGACTCCACCTATGTGTCTGTTGTAGACCTTTACTACGCTGGGGCAATCATCCTAACAAAACTCCTTGGCTAAAGTAAACCAACGTGTAGCCTTTTGGACTGGATCCCTCCCAACAAAGCTTGACAAAAATGTCATGGCGCAGTTATCATACCATTGCACACACGATAACTCTACCAAATCCTGTGCTACATACCAGTTTATGATGTTAATAGCGTTATGACAGGATCATCTATAGTGGTTGTGAGTTCCTCTGAAGCACCACGTCCTTTACATTTCAGTTCCTTTTCCCTTTTCGGGCGGCAGCTTGGTAGAAGATTCTTTCTCACCATACTGAGCAACAAAATTTCATCTTATGATAGAGTGACCTGTGATAATGTGGACGCATTCATTGCCCAGCTGTGCACACCTTCACCACATAACACCTGTATCCCCTCCCGCGCAATTTCCTACTATCTGCAACATTCTAAATGCTAGCCGCAGTCGCGGAGGAAACTGAAAAACGGAAGCTCGAAGGCTACACATTACATACATTTGGTTTGCGTTTTACTGGACATGGCACCACGATACCAATTTTGTCTTTCAAGTTCATACTGTGCCGAATTTGGCACACAGCGATGTTGGGTTCTCTGGTGTAGTTAAAGAGCAACTTCTGAAAACTAATAATGTGCTTGGGTTTTAGGCACGCCACAATATTTTTTCTATGCTTGTGAGGTGAAAACGTTCGTAGAAAAAAAATATCAATTTCTTGTGTTTGCCTCCTCAGAGTTGCACGTCACATCTAAAAATGCACTTGCCTCTACTTTGCTTATTGTTCAAGAGATATGAAATTACTTGCCCGACTATGAGAATTACTCCGATGGTATAACATTCTCAAATGGGCTGCCCATACCCACAAAAAAAAAAGTAAATGGTATGTGCCAAATATGGAACGCCATGCAATAGAGGGTTCACCAACAAATGGCTCCCACAGCTCAAAGTGATGCACTGCTGTACACGTTTCATCGTGTGCCACTGACCATCTATGCACACCACAGAGTTTGGCATTATGTTACCAACAAGGCAAACTAAAGCTGCATTGCTGTTCAGTACATGAAAATGGCAGAATATGGTGGCATCGTACTGGCATTGTTCTCCAAGGGCCACGCCACCTTAAAAGCGTCCATGGCTCATGCAGTTCCATCTGCCACGATGGTTCCTTTCCTACAAAAACGACAGATAAAGACAGCTCCCCCCCCCGCATCCCTAAAGTTGCTACAGCTTAAGTTGTTAGGCTGCTGAAGTTGAATAGAACAAAAAAAGCTTGCATTTGCTAAATACAGTTTGTCAGCTATTCTTGCTTTTTATTGTTTATTAGGTACTGCAGGACAGTAAACGTTATTGAACTATCCAATACTAGCGAATGAAAATCTTCAATGAAAAAAAATTTGTTAGGCTTTTTGTTTCACTGGTTTCCATGAACAGCAAAAGGTGGGTATGTACCTAGCAGCTACTAGCAAGTATAGCCATGGATAGCATAGTAAAGCAAGGAGGTGGGAAAGGAAAGTGAGGGTGAAGATAAAAGAAAGGAGGAGGTCAGAGGGCATAACCAGGAGAAAGAAAAAAGAGACTGCAATATGAAAAAAAAATAGAGATGAAAGAAAAAAAAAACACTGAACAAGTGAGAAGATCAACAAAGTTTAAAAACAATCTGCATTGACCAGGTGGTGGCACTTATTTACCAGCTTCACTACAATTTTACACAAACAAATAATTGGCTTTTTTTTTAAGCAAGGGTGATTGGCACAGCCATATCCACAATTCTGGGTAAGCCTTGCTAAAAACAAGTCTTGCACACCCGCATGTACTATCAATGACACAGAACTGATTAGAATACTCACTTAAATGGTGGTGCAAGACTTCCCTATAAAACACATTAAAGGCAGCAACATTGCTACCATTTGTACCTTTGATTTAACAGCCAACACAAGTTCAAGCACTTAAATCAGTCAAACATAATGTTTTGTTTCTAGAAAGCAAATGAAATGCAACAGAGACAAGTGTGGCTCATCTTTGGCAAAACTTGTATAAACTGCATAGAAAGTACACATTTCAAACATGGGTGTTAAAGGGTTAACAAATGACCTTGCATGCACAGCTTGCAGCAGGGTTAATAGTTGTGGAGTGAATCACCGGTAAGACCAAATACGTTTAAAAGGCACAACTCTAAGGTGAGTAGTATGATTACGACAAAAAAAAAAAAAAAAATCTAGCCCACCAGACACCTTTACTGTACCTAAAAGACATGGCAATCTTATTTTCCAGGTGGCCTAAATAGTAATCACTTGTGTTCACAAAAATCGGTCTAGCAAAATATGCTACCACAGCTTCTTTAGCTAATAGAACAAGTTTCTTTGAAGGGCCAGTAAGCAGCCCCGAGGTCCAAAAATTTTTAAGAAGAGATGTATGTGCAGTTTTTCTGTGCGAACATGCTGCCGCAAGAATTTTGCGAATACATGCTATATTAAGGAAATTACAGGGGTTAGAATATCGGTCTAAGCTGGTTTCAAATTTTCGCGCGGCCTCGCCCCCCTTCTCTCTTACATGAAGGGGAAGGCGTAGCCCATCGTCGTGACTCCGCCCACTTCAGCAACGTGACACCACGTCAGCGATTGACGCCATCGGTGAACTTGATCAGTCGCAACGTACTTCTGCTTGCTGCGAACCATGGTTGTTTGTTTACCGTTTGCCACGCCAGCCGCGGGTCAACCGAGTAAGCATCAGGTGCGAAGTGTCAACTACAAATGATCAGGTCCCCGACGCACATCGCTGGATGGCCGATTCACTTCAGCCATGCAGCGCGCAGGGCCCCATCATAAGGCACTCAGTGCCGATGCTTCTTCGCTGCCCATTCGCTCGATTTGCAGCCGACGACAGAGCAATGCTTTTTAACCAGGCTGCTAATGTCAAGGGCAAAGTACGTTCGTACGTGCGCACATGCGCTGTAGTTGAGTGAGGAGTGTACACGTGCACGCGACAACTGCGAGGCTGGTCTTGGGCTGGTTCTCTCACTGCAGTGCCAAGAAACAAGGGGCAGTTTCGTAGCTGTGGGTGGGAACAGGAACCGACGTTGACTTCACTACTGTTTTCACACCTGATTTAGACCAATCAGCAAGCTGCTTCGGCGAGCTGCGCGCTATGTCCTCGCAGAGTTGACGTCACTGCGCGTGCAAGGGGGTCGTCGGTCAGGCGTAGGAAAGATGCGTGGGATTTGTTTTTCAAAATATAGGCTCTGCGCGGCACGCAGCGCTGTAATATTCAGAAAGCGTGATCGCTGCGGTCTAATCTACGAATTGCCGAGCTTGTATGGGGGGTGTAAAAAATAAGTCCGAGCGTGTTTACTGGCCCTTTAACAGCACTTACTACTAATGTGTGACTACTGGCCCAGCAAAATATGCTACCATAGCTTTGTTTACTGGTCTGACTTTGCCGCACAACTTTATTCAGGTGAGACATTTCATCACTGCATACACCAGACAGCCTTTCACACTTCGGGTTCAACACATAAGCGACTTCACAGCTCAAAAGACTGTCTCGCAAAGAACTGCACACAAAAGAATTTCAACACTGGCTTATTCAAAGCCTTGCCAGTCGCTGTGTTCTGAATCTTCATCCATTTCAATCCCAATGCAGTGGATTCCCGTTTTGAGAAATGGTGTGCCTTTTCCCTTTCCTGCAATGAATAATGATAATAAAGATGCAATAACAAATACAATAAGGATAATGTGAATAATAAAATAAGGATGAAGTCAATATGACTAATGAGACCAAAAAAGTAGAGCTATGTGAATGGGAGACCAGCTCTAGATAGGTGGCGTGCCAAAAAAGAGCACCTAGTGTAGAGTCGCCACACAACTCGGCCGCTTGCGCCCAGCCACCCGCCCGCATGTACCGCTGTGAAAGCATGTGCGTGCACCAGTGCTGTGCTGTGCTTCATTTTGAAACGAACAGCTCGAAAAGTCATTATGCCAGTAACACTGCACTGTGGTTTAGAAAAATAACTTTCTCCGAAGGCTACTCTTACATAAAAAGCACTAAAATACGAAGAGAAACCCTGCAAAGCAGACTGCACCAGCATATGGCATCGAAGGTAGAGTGCTGTGCTGTGATGGCAACTCCCTCGTCCTTATTTTTCTGGTTGCGTGCTGGGTTTGTGTGGAAAGGCCACTCACCAGGCCCCATAACAAATTTTAGTAAGACCATTAGAGTAGTTGTGTGTCCGATAAGAAGCATTTCGCCACAAATTTTTTTTCGATCAGTTCATTACGAGCTCAGAAAACTGTCTTCATGAAGCATGGCGAAACGAGGATGAGAGGAGGCGAGCTCGAAACCCTTGCCGCTCCTCCACGTAGCCTCCGCAAGCCAAACCTCTTCCCTACCCTCTCCGGCATCAGACCAAGAGGTCACGTGTGCATGGCTTGCCCTAACAAGCCCAACCATCGAGCACACGAGCATCATTTCTTTTTGTTTGTTGTTGACCAGCATTAATTTGCGGTCTACTACCTGTTTCTGCAGGATGGTTTGGAAACGCTGGCTTAGACAGGGTAGAATAGATTAGCACAATGAGTGAGCGAACCCGTAGAAGCGTTACTTTCGCCTCCACAGCTGTCGTCTGCTCGATGCACTGACCGCGGGGACACGACCGCATGCGAAACGCCGGCACATTAGCCCCGCATTTCGTTGCCATTTATGGAAAAAAATGAAAAAAAAAGATGCGCACATTCCCTTATTGCTTATCATTATTTATTTAGAGTTTTATTAATCTCTTCAAGCAACAAAATTACATAAACTACACATATCACGTTAAGAAATTTTCACCATGTCACGTGCCACTGTTTGCAACGTCGGAGCACAGTCGTCTACATAGAGGACCAACGTCACTGCACCGCTGTGTACATAGGGCCATTCATACAAGAACGTCATGCCCTCATTCCCTGGGTGCACGCCCGCAAATGGAAGGAGGAGCAGCATTCATCTTGAAAATTTGGCGCATTGTCGCGGCGCGCAGCGTTGCAAATTTTGGCAGACGTGATCGTGAATGCCCCATCTACGCATTGCGCTTGTCAGCTCAAAGCTGGTCAAATCTGGTGAGTGGCCTTCAAACTAGTGCAGGCTGATATGCCCCCATTGACAAGTTCGTGCTGTGACGATACCACGCTGCTCACATTTGTAGTAAAAAAAAAACAGAGGTAGCTGCATCAATTTCTTTATCTGGGCATCGTATGTACGCCCTTTCCGTGGTATGTATGCACGGGGATGTTGATCAAGCGCAAACCACCGTTGTAGCATAGCGCGTGTGGTATCCCGCTACTATGCAGGGTGTGGGATAGATTCCCGACCACAGTGGCCGCACTTCAATGGGGTTGAATTACAAAGAACACCAGAGAGCCAAGATACATATATGCACACTGGGGAACCCCAAGTTGTCACAATTAATCCTGATACCCACACTACGGCATGCCACAAAATGATATCTTGTTTGCCACATGAAAGCCTAGGAATTATCAATGTCAAACATTGATAATTGGCGACACAGGCAAATGGAAAAAGAGAAACTGTGCGTTAGGCAAACTAAACGTTGAGTAAAGTTAGAAGACATAGGATAATTTTCTAGCAAGGCATAAATTTCGATGTTACTAAGCCACGGCAGCCACTGAAAAAAAAGCTTACCACATCGGCTGACTCAGGAAAGCTAAGCTTCAAGTAGTCTGTTGCTTTGTCCATAACAAGAACCCCACCTTTAGCACAAATTAAGTTATACAGAGGCATTTTAGCATCGGGTATTTACCCTGAGAGTACCTTCTATAACAGCTCAGTGGCATAGGCAAACGTGTCCTCGCACAAATCTTGTGGGCATGGCAGCTTTCCTTTATATACGTAACTGTTTACAAATAATGTAGACTACTTGCCTTGTATAATTCATTTGACGCGGTGGCATCTGATGGAGTTTAGTGATGGTGCTAAAATGCATGTGTTTGTCCTGAGGTGCACGGCTCAACGCTCAGCAGGCCAGATAAAATATATTACATATGCCGTATGCTGCATAAGACGCTCGTTTTATTTCCAGCAGAATGACATTTAATTTAGACTGTTTGGCCCTTGTTTGCACAGGTGGCTTTCTTCACTATCGAAAAAACACCACTAAACAGAAAAATGAGAGCAGAACGTACTTTGCTCGCCTGACCGATTCTATGCAATGCCGCCTCCTCTTTTATTGATATGATTAAGAAGGAAAAACGTACAAAAGTATGTCCTCCCTCATTTTTTACATATTGTGGCACTTGAATATCAGCACTACCACCAGTGCACTTTGGTTTTGTTACAGCGATGCCCGCCCGCACAACCTTTGCCAGCCGCCACTCCTGTTTGTGGGAGCGGCTGAGAAGTGCGCACTTTGACCGCCAGGGTGGTCGTGGAAACTCCAGCGCTGGTTCCCTATAGCAAAATTTTCCTTGCAAAGTTAATTTGTATATTTTCTTATATTTCTCTAATGCCTAAAATTGTTTTGAACACTATGAAGTAAAATTACAGAAAAAAAAGTTGGAGAAAATTCCTAAGCATATTGTTATGTTATGAGACAACAACACGAAAGTGTTTATTCTGGCTAGGTTACTGAAGCGCTCGCGAGGTGGTGTTTCATAGTTGCCTTATCAAGAATGAGGCAACGCAGAGGCCAAATTGTATTTATGTATTTGCTTTGGTGCAACCGAAGTGTTGCCGACAACATTTTACATGTGAAGGGCAAATATACTATTTCCTAAGCCTCTCATCCTCTTTCAACTTCTGTGGAAGATGAACAAATGTGCCGGACAAGGGTGTGCTCGCTTACAGTCCAGAGTTCGAATTTGCTTCGTAGACGTTACCGTAATTACTCGAATCTAACGCGCACCTTTTTTCCGGTTAAGCGAGTTCATAAATCGCATGCGCGTTAGAATCGAGTACGAACAAAGAAATTACGGTCAATCTATTGCCATCGGCAAATCCAAAATGGCCGCCCCCTACATGCGTCGGCATGGCGCGTCCGCCGTTTCTGCCTATGTGTTTCCCATGTGCGGCACTTCGTACGTGTGCTGAGGAGTTCGTCATCTAGTAGTGCATTAGCATCGGCGTGGAAGGGCCGACTCCAAAAACTCGAGTGCACCACGATGCCGCTTTTAAAAGAAAAGTCATCGCGTGTGCAGAAACGGACGGAAATCGGGCCGCATCGCGGTCGTTCAGAGTTCTCGAAACGTGCGTGCGGGACCGGCAGAAACAAAAGCAGAAGATTGTCGACAGCAAAGCTTCACGCAAAGGCTTCAGTGGACCACAGCAGGGTCAGTTTCCGCAAATTAAAGAGCTGCTTGGCGAGTATGTGCTTGAGCAGCGAGCGGCACAGCGGCCCATGACGACAGAACTGCTCCAAGTGCGGGCTATGCAATTAGTCTTAGAAAAAGGTCTAATGTGGAGCCAGTTTAAAGCGAGCAGGTGCTGGCTAACGAACTTTATGAAAAGGAAAGGCTTTTCCCTCCGAAGAAGAACATGCATATGTGAAAAGTTTTGCGGAGGAGTACGATGAAAAGCTTCACAGTTTTCAGAGGTTCGTCCTAAACTTGCGGCGCAACAACGGCTACCTGCTTGGGCAAATCGGGAATGTCGAACAGACGCCTCTTTACTTCGACATGCCTGGCACCACAACCGTCGAGAAGAAGGGGGCGAAGCAAGTTTGCGTGCTGACATCGGTCCACGGTAAAACTACAGTGACGGCAATGCTCTGTTACACGTCAGATGGGCACAAGCTTCGCCCGTACCTTATATTTAAATGGAAGACGCTCCCGAAAGGAGTCGTTTTTTCGAGTGGCGTGATCGTGCGGGCAAGTGAGAAAAATGGGTGCGCGTTGCAATTAATGTCTTACTTTTTTTTTTTTTTTTCGCGGTGGAAATCAGGTGCGCGTTACAATCGAGGGCGCGGTAGAATCAAGTAAATACGGGAACATACAAAAAAATTTCAAACTTTGGATGCTAAATTTCTTGCCCTGTAACTTTTCGGACTTCCTGCTGAAATTTAAGGTCCAAAATAACATCAACTGGGCCTCAAATCTGCCACATCTATTACCTCCGTCTTGGAACTAGTGTTTTCTTGAGTCAGTACATTTGCGACCGTAGTGAGCCTGAAAAGCAGCTTTGCCGCAATACGAGAGTAATGAGGTGAAGCATATTAGAAATCTGAAAGAGCTATTGTCAATTTGACGACTGTTTTTTTTTTTTTATTTGGAAGTTCACCAGTAGAATAGCCTAAAAGGCAGCTTTGATGCAATACGGGATTGTAATGAGGTAAAGCATATTAAAAATTTAAAGAGATAACTTCTGATTAGACATTTACCGTATTTGTCATTGGGAAGTTCGAATAGTAAAATTCCAGTGTGGATTGAACCGAACAGCAAGAACTTTTAGAAAAATATTCAAAATTTCGAATATTCACATACCCCTAAAAAATTACTAATTCTTGCTTAAAGGTACACTAAAGGCAACTATTAAGTCGACAATGATTGTTGATATGGCGGTCAAGAAACCTGGAGTGTTACTTTTGTGCCAAGGAAGGGCCTATTTTGAAACAAAATCATGTTTTAGTGGTCCGCATTGGGTTAGCACACTTCAAATTACCCACCTCTAGAAGCGGACCGACCTGACCGGCTC